GGTCGCTGGCATGCCAAAAATCACTGCTTGATCGTTTACTGGATCCGACATTCCAAGGATCACTTGGTCGTTCTCTGGATCCGATACACATGTTATACACGATGTTTACGCCGACATACAGAAGCGCTGAGTAATATAGGGGTGCTTGCGCTTTATATAGAGTAGGATACTGCAATAATCTATTCACTTCTGAATTACCTGTTGAAGTATCCATGACTGCAACAAAAGTAGGTGTTGACTAATGAAGGCAGTTCTTTCGTTGTTCTCAAATTATTGATTTTGCATAGTAGCTTCATATAGCTTCATAGTTTGCCCAGAGCTTTACGATATAACAGTTTTTACTCATTGCACCCTACATTTATGTAATGACTCTGCCTCTCGCGGTCAACGCTACAATTGCTTATGCGCATGAAAGTAAGCACCTTGTTAATGCACTGCGCACTTTGTCGCATGTCTTCTTTACCACTAAACAGCTTTGAACTCTGGGTTACGAAGACGAAAAGTCAGTTAAGATGTGCAATTTGAATTAGAGTGAAGAAATAGTTGGAAGATGAAAGGGACGATTTGTACCGAACTCCAAGTCGCACCAGGAAGATGAGCCTACTAGTACAGCTACTTGAAGTGTTGACATTGGGGATAACAGGCTGACTAAGCATTAAAATGTTCCCTTCTTTTTCAAAGCACAGCACTCAATTGGAATGGTGTTTTTATTCCGAAATACAACTTTTTCGATTTCATACTTTTAAGTAAGCTAGGTTCTCTTTGAGGCAGGTAGAAATAAAGCAATTGCGCAATTTGCTAATAATATTTTGACTAATTTAAAAAATTCTGTGGAGGTTTTCCAAATGGATCCTTTCGCATTTTTTGACGAACGAACGATATGAAGGTGTCCACGTGTCCACAAGGTACAATCTTGGAAAGCCAGCAACTTTGAAGACGTTTGAATTATGAGAGTTTTTTAAAGGACTTAACGAGTCTATCAAAAAGCTCGGAGAGAAATTTAATGAGAGTTCAAACAACAATTTCGCTGATAATTACCACACACATGTTTTGCACAAAGAATCTGTATTTTATACAGAAAGAAATCCTAAACAGGACGATCCCAACTTGAGATAGCTAACTAAAATGAACCGCATATCATAGATTGTGTCGATGAACTGATTTCAAATCTACCTTTCGTAGCGATGCCGTTTTTTGGAAAAATTTGTGAGGGTTCAAAATCAAAATTTCGCAAACATTCAGCGCTACAGCTTTAAGAATTAGATGTACAAGAATAGTTACCCTTTGCTTTAACTACATTGAAGGTGGGGCTCCGTGACCTAGTTCTCAGATAATTGCCGGGGGCAGGCGGTCCGCAAACTCGCGCTTTCCTGCAAGCGGTCAGCAGAATTTTGGGGCGTGGCCAAACCTTCAGCGAGCGGTACTTCCTTTACTGTCTAATATTCTGCAAGCGGGCAGCAACGCAGAATTTTCTGCAGGCGCTCGTCAGATAATCTCTTTCAGCAAAAGCTGACCGAACTTTCAGCAGGCGCTCGGACCCTTTTTACGCAATTTCGGGCGTACGCAGAGAAAAGATGAGACTCTATGTGGCAGAGGTGTCACCGTTGGTTTGATTACTCAAGTTTGAGGTACTTTCTCTCAGCGGAAAGTACCTGGGGGCTGCGCGGTCCTCCACAAAGGACCGTGCTGCCCCCGAAAATTTTGCATATTTTCGCGGAAAGTTCGCGAGGATGCGGCCACTGCGCCGCAGCTAATCCATAAGGAAACCGCGATTGTTCTCCAAACATTCGTCCAAAATTCGCTAAAATTCCTCCAAATATCTGCAAACGGACCGCAAGAAATCAGCGAACTATTTTTTCGGTGCTCGCCCGCCCATAAATCGCATGGCCGCCTGCCCCCGACGATTATCTGAGCAGGTGGCCATGCAATTTTTGAGCAAGCGAGCACCGGAAAAATCGTTCAATGATTTCTTGCCGTCCGCTTGCATAAAGAAAGAAGAATGTTGGCCTACTTTTGAACGAATGGTAAATGGAAATTTTTCTCAAGTGCACTCAATAATAGACAGGCACCCCAAATTTGGTTTTAGAAACACCGCTAAAAGCTTGCCAATTTTAACCTCTGAACGCTCATAACTTTTTCGAAGAACGGCATCGCGGAAAGGTAGGTAGGTCTGGAATCAACTCATCATAACGCATTTAATGATATCACAAACTGAAAATAAATTTTTCTTTTCTTAAGGCACATAAGGATCTGGACGCTTTTTTCTCCTTTGACAAACATTTTCTCTGAGTTCCATATTTTCGTATACTAAGTGTTCTTTGGCACCAAATTTGGGGTGCCTGTCTATTATTGAGTGAACTTGAGAAAAACTTCCATTTATCATTCGTTCAAAAGTAGGCCAACATTCTTCTTTCTTTCTGCAAGAACGGCAGAAACATGGAGGTCGAAATTTTGGGTAAACGGTGCCTTTAAACACAGTAGTGCAACACCTCCAGTTCTTAACTCGAGGCATTTCAACCAAAAAGGGATCAAAACGGCGAATCAAGTTCGAAATTCTGCAAACATCGAAAATTCTCACTGTACTGTTGAAACTTTTGTGGACACATTTACAGTTAATGTCCGCAAAATAAATTGATTGGTTAACTTTGACTCACGACTGCATGAGTTATTCCGAATTATAACGTGTCATTTTGTAAACTGGATATATCCCGTTTTCATAATACTAACTCACTCTGCTAAATTATATTTCTCCCCTTTTTCCTAATTCAATGGTCTTGGTGTAGGCGTGATGAATATATTAACATTTGATAGTCTTTCTTTGTATGAAATGAAGAGCTCACATCAAAAAAAGAATTTGCTCAACAATGATCACAGCGGCAGTGCGAATACAGCAGGGCCGGTAGTAATCTGGCCGAAACTCCGAGTTTAAAGCTGTTTGAAACTCAGAGTTAACTCCGAGTTTCGTAATGCTGCCGCTATGGTTGTTGAGGAGCTACCACACGCTTCATCGCAAGGCACTGCGACCTGGTTAGAAGTCGAACTTCCGTTGATCAGCGCCAAGTGTCTACTACTAGACCAGTAGGCCACGGAGCACCTTAGCTGCATCACCATTCTGCCGCTATGAGTACCGTTGCTTACATCCTACGTGTTCAGGCACGTCAAGAGGCATGGTGTTTCTTCACTCTAACAGTGGATTCACTAATATACTTATACATCAGTGGCGTACCGAGCAGGGGGCGCCCCCCTCCCGCCGAGAATGGGTCGCGAAATTCTTGAAAGTTACTTAAATGTGTTACAGAAATGTGCAGGCGACTTGTTACTACTTGTAAATAATCGAATTTTTTTGAAAAATTTTGAAAATTCAAACTTGTAAAAAAAATTTCGGGCGAGCCTGTCGCCACGCCCCTTTTTGTTAAAATTTTTACAGTCAGGGAGCCGCAAAAATTGGAAGCATCCCAAAAAATTTTTCGGAGCGAGTGGTTAACGCTACGCACCTTCATCCGAAAATTTCTTCTCCCCCTCCTCCCCCCCCCCCCCGAGCGGAAATCTGGGTACGTCACTGTTATACGTACTCCCCTTTCCCATTCTCAATCCCACTTACGATATCATTTTCTATTCAGAAAATCCCAACCTTAAAAGAAGATTATTCCCAGCTGCATTCCTAAATGGGATAACTGGCGAAGGTGACTGCTTTATTGACAAAACACAATTTATGTATCAAAATTCAGCTAAAAGTTCAGCTAAACTCAAATATATGTAAAATGTAACAACCTTGTGTTATAAGAAACACATCATGGAATCATCTACATGCCTCTATCATTTTGATAATACTATCAAAATGATAATGATTGGCTGATGAGTGCTTTTTATTCGAATATTTTATTATTGTTTTTGTTTTTTATTCGAATATTGGTCTGGATCTGCTTCATACAGTCTCGCTGAAAAGTTCCGCTCGTATGAAAGTCATTGCAATTTTTTTTTGATCCTATTCATTGAAGTTTGGTAGGATACTGTGCACTCAGAGACCTGTATCAATAATAACAGTGGTAAAAAAAAATCAAATCCTAGTTGTCTATTCGTAACTCGATTCGTATTTCAGCATGAAAGCTCAAAATTCAATACTTCGATAAAGTTACCCACATCTTCCACAGTTTGTACCTATGTGCTGTTTTTGGCTCAATGTTAATTTGATGCAAAAGTTTTGTCAGTTTGGATGCAAAATTAAATTCCCTTTTCAGCTTCTAGCAGTTCCAAATGCTATGCTTCCGACGAGCGCTGGATAATAAGCGAAGCTTACAAGCTTTTATATCTAAGACGTTATAAGTTTCGCTAATTTTAAAATTTTCAGTTGAGACTTTTGAGAGTCTTTCATAACCGGCAGAAAGGGCAAACCTTTCGCAAACCAAACCAATTTTTCATCCTCCAGCTTGTCTTTCAGAAGTTTCAAAAATTAGTCTTGATTTCTAAAACTGTAAGCGTATTTTCACCAAACACCGCAAGAACTTCAAATATTGAGGTCCCAAAACTTGATTATTAATACCACTCACCTAGCAAAGCAAATGCGATTATCGCTTTGGAATATGGAGGTGCTTTAGGATACGACAGACTGAGATTAACCTTAGTCTGCATTCTGTGTTATAAAGGTGTTATAAGAAAGAGTACAGGGATCCCTGAGTGTCGCTGTCGCGCGGCTCGGGCCACTCGTCGCCTTCGCGAACGTCATTTCGCATACGGTATTTCTCATGCCTGGGACGTGGGAAGTATCGTATCCCTTAGGTGTCAATGGCTGACGGAGCTCGGGAAAATGTCACGAGGAGAGTTCGCGAACGCGGTGCGTGGCCTAAACCAAAGGGTTTGCGAGGAGCCAAATCCGCCGAACCGGCATTCAGAATGGAATCCCTTAACGTTCCTGCTGAACCGCGCTTATAAATTAGCCTTCAAATGACTGTAGCTAAGTCAACTGGCTTGCATGTGTATTAGATTCAGATTCCCAATGAAAATCATTCTTCTCCATAATTAAGCTTCTCCACTTGTACCGCAAGTCTGCGCTGCTTTAAGTTCAGCTTTCTTTTCAGCTGAAATAATGTAGATCTGAGGGTCAGTGTACCTCAACTTTCGCAAAATTCACTTCTTTCATCTTCGTTCTTGCATCATCATCTGTGATGGCCGTGTCATTGTTGATCTTTTCAGCTTGTTTCAAGTAGTTCTCCACTGCTTTCAAGCCTTCGATGGCTTCGTCATACCGTGCTTTACGCAATTGCTTTTTCTTTTGCACTTTAGTTGCATACGCTTCCTGTAACTTGTTCATCTGATCCTGTTTTGCTTGTAACTGCACCTGAACAAAATGAACTGGCAAACCTGAGTTTTCTCGTCTTGTAGTTCAAGGATCTCGTTGACAACTGCTTCCTTCGTAGTGCTAGAAAGCTTCGTTTTCGAAATATTTGAGACAGATGCAAGTAGGAAACTACCGGTTAAGATGACCATTATCTCCGAGAGCCCTCAAAAAATTTCTGTCGCTTTTGTGTTTCACCAAAAATCTGAGCACATCAACGAACACTGGACCATCATAAATGGCGCTAACGATCCAAACACCTATGAGAACCACTAACAAAGCAGCTTGCATTCCTGAAGAAGGAGAAGTAGTTATAGAAAAGAAATTTCACGAAGAAGGCAACACAAGACTGGCAATGCTATAATGGGATTCACTTTTTATATTCATGATTGATTTGCATTTTTAGCCATTCCGCGACATCTGCTCAAATGATTCGTTATCTATTTATTTATTTATTTATTCAATGCGCTTTGGCGTTCGTTACAAGAGGAAAAACATGTTATGATGCGAAGCTTTCATTATCGGTCTATATCCAAGTGTTAAAAAAGGTGAGCAATTCTTCTAGTTATGGTATACAAGGTGTTTTAAAAATATGCACATACTGTTTGATCGTTAACACCTCTTTCGAAAGTTTTTTGTCGACCTTTAGGTGCCATTCTATAAAGCTGGCTTTTTCTTATTGTTAAATTCACCGTACTTACTTCGATACTTGGATGGCCCGACCTCACGTGACTGTGGGCACCACCATTAGAGTTTCCATTTTTAACTGTCTCTCGCTTCAAACATCCACGATCTTCCTGGTTGACGTCAGTGGCTGCGTTCACGGGTTCCAGGTGCGAAAATCGTATCCAGTTGGTTTCTCAGCTGGACCAGTCTTTCGCGAACACGTCTGCCCACCTCGCTGAAGGTCTCCCTTGGGCCACTCCGATGTTCTTAATGTCCAACATTCGTCTGTTCTTCGCATGCTGTTACCGGCCCATCGATACTTTCGCAATGTATTCTGCTGGGTGACGGAGATGGGACATCTCATATCTGTATGCGAAGTTCGACAAGATGTTGCTTGTGTCGGGTCGTCTTCAGAAGACTGTGTGCCTAGCCTTTGTGGGTGGTCCTTAGAGCTTTTGACGTGGCAACGATGCCAACCCAAGTCTTGAGTTCTTCCCTCAAGTCGTTCTCCATGTTCATCGAATGTCCGAGATACACGTAAGAAGACGTCTGCATGATAGAGATGCCTTCTAGTTCCAATTCTGCAACTTCGCAAAGGGCGTTCTTCATGAACTGAGTCTTCTTTCGATTTGTTCGCAATCTAATCTTCTTCCATACTTCGTTTCGTTCTTTTAGCGTCGTATCTACTTCAGTGATATACTGGAGAAGAGAACGACGTCGTCCGCAAAACGAAGGTTTGACAGAAATCTCCCATGAACTCGTATGCCTTTCTCGTCCCAGTTCAGTGATTTCATCATCCACAGCATGGCCAAGGTGAACAGCTGATCCTCGGATGACTTCTATTTTCGTTAATTGTGATCTCTAATGCCACTCAAAGTGAAGATCACCAGAGCAGCAGAGTGGTTCTATGTACGAATATATGGACAAGTTATCCGTGTTTTGGAAATTTTTTGTTAAACAATAATCTATACTGCATTTTTTTAGCGCGTCTAATCAACAAACCACTACTTCGAAAGAACGGCCCTTTCTAATCCACTTGGTTGTCGATCCTTAGCATCCTTTTCTAACATTGACCACTTTCTTTTCCTTGCATTATCTTTAACGCCATGCCTGAATATATTCCATCCTTTGGTGTTTTGGGAACATCTGGCCGGCAAAGTCCCATCGTCACCTCCCCGTGGTGCCGGCTAGCAACGGGGATCAACCCCGGCAAACGACGAGGGCACTGTCCTGTCAGGCGAAGCGACGCGCCGGGGAGTGTACGAATCAGTCGTGTCACATGCATCGGACTATTAAGGATTTTTGTCAAGCTGCTAGGGCGTCCCCCGGAGGCGACGCGCGTCATTGCCCACATGGCGCGAATAGTGAGCTAGGGCTACCTGCCCCCGGACGAGGCAGGCCAAAGAAGCGAGTCCAGGAAATCCGACTAGCGACGATTAATATAGGAACGCTGACGAGCCGCAGCCGGGAGCCATGTGATAGGCTGAAGGAGCGACACATCGACATCGCATGTGTACAGGAAACGAAATGGAAAGGAAGGCAGGCTAAGGACATCGGCGACGGATACCGCTTATACTACACGGGAGATAGCAGCCGCCAGAACGGAGTCGCGATCATCGTCAGCGGTAGATACCGCGATTTAGTGACCGAAGTGACGCGCATTTCAGATAGATTGATGGCGATGAAGATCGAAGCAGATGATGCCACGCTTCGAATAGTCTCGTGTTATGCCCCGCAATAAGCATGTACCGAAGCCGAGAAGGACGTGTTTTGGAGGGACTTCGACATCCTGCTAAGGACATTTGACGCTTCAGACTACATATTCGTAGGAGGCGATCTTAATGGACACGTTGGCCACGAACACGATGGATTCAAGAGATACCATGGTGGAAACGGACATGGTCAAAGGAATGAAAATGGAGAACGCATCCTGGAAGCCGCAGAAGCACACGACTTGGCGATAGCGAATACATTTTTCAAGAAGCGGGAGTCACATCTGATCACGTACGCGAGTGGAGACCGCTCAACTCAGATCGACTACTGGATGCTGCGCCGATGCCATTTGCCGATGGTGATGAACGCGAAGGTTATACCCACGGCGACACATGCATTTGCGCCACAACACCGGTTGCTCGTATTGGATCTTCGACTGAACATCCACTTACACTCACGAGCCAGAAGGACGACCACAAAGAGGATCAAATGGTGGAAGCTTCCCCAACATCGCCAGCAAATCAGAGATGCTTTTAACGATTTGAGAGTGTCGACGGATGATAAGGAGTCGATTGAAGAGCAGTGCAATCGGATTACTTCGCAGATACGATCGAGGGCCGAGGCAATCTTGGGAACCACCAAGCCAGGACGCCGGTTTGTAGATAAGCAGATCTGGTAGTGGTCTGAGTCAGTCCAGCAAGTGATCAAGGAGAAGAAAGAAGCCTTCAAAGCCTGGCAGCGCTCACACTCAAATGAGGACCTCCGTCGATATCGAGAACAGAACTCGAAGGCGAAGCACGCGGTAGCCGAAGCAAAGGAAGCACACTACAAGAGACTTTACGACGAGCTGGAAGGACCTGCTGGAGCGAACAAGGTCTACCGACTGGCCGCTGCACGACATCGAGCGAAGCAGGACATCGACCACGTCATGCACATTAAGGACGCAGAGGGCAACCTCCTGACGAAGCCGAGGGCAATACTCAAGCGGTGGAGTGAATATTACAAAGGGCTATTTAATAGGAGTTCCCGCACCCGTTAGTACCGCAAGGAGCCCCCACATTTGGACCGGTATCTCGGATCGAGGAGGCAGAAGTTGTGCAGGCACTGAGGAAGATGTCTAGCGGAAAAGCTCCGAGACCCGACGACATAGCTGCTGAAGTGTGGAAGATGATGGGGCAGCGTGGAGCGGCATATCTCACATCGCTTTTTAACCGCATTATCGTCGACGGACAGTTGCCGCGAATCTGGACTACGAGTGTTACAGTCCCTATCTGGAAGGAAAAGGGCGACGTCAGCGACTGTTCAACATATCGACCAATACGCTTGCTATACCACACGATGAAGATCTTTGAACGAGTCATCGACGCACGCATTCGAAGTATAGTGGAGGTCACCTCGAATCAGTGCGGCTTTGTAAAAGGATTGGGCACCATCAACGCCATCCACGCAGTACGATTGCTAATGGAAAGGCATTTGGAGAAACGGATTCCGATTCATTTCGCATTCCTGGATTTAGAAAAGGCATTTGATCGGATACCACACGGGCTGATCTGGTATGCGCTGAGACAACACGGCGTCCCAGAAGAGTACGTTCGCTGGATCAAACTCCTCTATACGAACACGACGGGCGCCATACGCTGTGCAGTGGGAACGTCAACGCCATTCTCAATCCAAGTCGGAGTACACCAAGGATCGGCTCTATCACCGCTTCTCTTTATACTGTACATGGACACGGTGACCAAGGACATTCAGCTGCCGCATCCGTGGACGCCCCTTTACGCAGACGACGTCGAGCTAGCAAGCGGATCGAGACAAGAGCTTGAAGAGGCGACTCTGAGATGGAAGACACGATTAGCGGAATATGGCCTACGACTGAACGTAGCAAAGACCGAGTACCTGGAATGCGGAGAGCGAACCAATGGCACAATTAGCATCGATGGGCAGCCGCTGAAGAAGGTCACGATATTCAAATACCTGGGCTTCCGAGTGACGTCGGATTGCGACACGATCACTGATGCTCGTGCTAGGACGAACGCGGCGTGGCTAAAATGGCGGCAAGTAACAGGAGCACTCTGCGACCGACGAATTCCGTTGTATCTCAAGTCGAAAGTGTATCGGACTGTAGTGAGGCCAGTCGCACTGTATGGAGCCGAATGTTGGCCAGCAACCAGAAGACACGAGCAGATCATCAGCACGATGGAGACGCGAATGATAAGATGGATACTTGGCCTAACGAGAAGAAACTGCGTCACGAACGATGATGTACGACACATTTTCGGAGTTGCACCTATCGCGGATAAGATGCGGGGTGCCAGATTACGATGGTATGGTCACGTTTTACGAAGTGAAGATAATACAGTAGCAAAAACAGCACTTCGTCTAGATCCACAGGGGAAGAGACCACGTGGCCGTCCGAAGCAACGCTGGTTGGACACCATTCGAAACGACCTGCACATTGCAAAGCTCAAACCACAAGAAGCAGTTGATCGAGTCAAATGGAAGCAAAAATGCACCACCGCCGACCCTGCACCCGCGGGACATTGAAGATAAAGAAGAAAAAGAAGAGGTGTTTTGGGAACATCTATTTCTACTTGAAGACAGTTTAAGGCAGTTTTTAAGACAGTTTATCTCGTGCGGGATGAAGGCGGAACAATGCTAATGGTTTGCTGGATGTGAAATCGACGTAGCAGAAAAGAGCTCACGATAGAGCAATCGCTCAGGATCACCGCAGACGTAAGAGTGACAGTGTCTTCTCGACATAAGAGAAAATCTATTGCGAAGAACATCTACACCAACCTCTTCCGCTCATCGAAGTGCCGACGCTCAATGTTTCCACTGCAGAAGTACCACCAAACTCTACCTGCTGAAGTACCGCGATTTAGACCACGAAGACGTCCTCGGCTCCAGGGCCAATTTTTCCGTTGAATTCCTGCGA